AGCTGCATTTACAAGGGAAACACCATGCACTGATTCCAGTTTCAAAGACCAAAGGTTATCTTGAAGAGCTCATTTTCTAAAGTGAAAAGCTGGAAGACAATTACTGTGAATGGATGTCATTTAAAATTCCTATGCGGGTGGAATTTAATGACCCTCCTGACCAAAAATGGACCTGGACAAAGAGATGGAAGGGAAACAGAATTGGAAGGGGTATTCAGGTATTCTCCCTGGGTCAAAATGGCTCAGACACTGCGGAGAAAAACAAGGAAGTTTCTCGACAATCACTGATGGCTGACCAGCCTGTACGTCTCAAGGTGCAGCAGATATGTCCTCCATCCAATCCTGCAAAGTAAAGCACCAAAGAGTAACGCAATCCCTACTGGGCATTCTCTTTCCATTCCATAAACGGAGTCGACACAACTGGGAGTCTGTGCTTTTTATTCCAACTTTGCTGCGAAAAGAGAAACTGATATTGAAAAACAAAGATGGAAACAAGTCGAGAGGGTAAGAATTTTTTTTATTGATTGATGGTAATCAGATATCAATAAATGCATTTCAACATTATTTACAGCATGCAGATCCAAAAGGCACTTGAAGTTGCATTTTGAATGAGTCAAAGTTCCCAGCAGTAGAACTTGAATCCTATCAGGGAGAGCAGCTTTGCATTTAAGAAGTTCATTGATAAAGTACAAAAAGAATATCACTCATTTACATGCGATTTTAGTCATCCAGTACATTAGGTGTGAAAAAATACTGACTCCGCTATATTACCAAACTAAAACAGTTTTATAGATTATAAATTATTAAAAATATATTGTCATGTCGACTTTTACAGGAATATGAATTGGTCCAATCAGTCAATCAATTACACTGTAACATGCAGCCACTAGAGAATACATAGTTAGTAACACAATAAAAAAACAGGATTAAAAAAATGCATTATTCCAAAACGACAAAGTACTTAATTCATTTTAAGTGCCTCTAATTTGCACCTCGATTAGTCTCTGCCCTGACAGATGACAATTATTGGCTCAATTAATATTTTCCCCCCAAAGCAGACTGGAGTCTAATGTGCTCGGTCCCAGTATCATGCCTTTCAAGATTTGACAGAACAACAACAACAACAAGATTCCATTTATAGAGCGCCTTTCACGTCGGGAGGACGTCCCAAGGCGCTGTACAGTTGGGTCAGGACCCGAGTATTGGGGGGAAATGGTGAGGGGAGGGAAGGGAGGGAGCGAGGAGAGGGTAGAGAGTCGAGAGTGGAGCTGAAGGTACGGTCAAAGAGAAAGGTCTTGAGACCGGCCTTGAAGGAGGAAAGGGAGGAAGCGGCGAAGGCACCGGGGAATGGAGTTTCAGAGCCTCGGGGCTGAGAGGCTGAAGGCCCGGCCACTGATGGTAGGGCGGTTGGGGCGGGGGATGTGGAGCAGACCGGAGCCAGAGGAACGGAGGGTACGGGCAGGTAAGTAGGGGGATAGTAGGTCGGGGAGGTAGGAGGGAGCGAGGCCGTGAACGGCCTTGTAGGTGAGGATGAGGATCTTGAATTTGATTGTACAGAAATAACCTCAGAGAGCAAACAGTCAATTCAAGAAAGATGCAGAATTGTAGCCAATTCCCTCACTCAGATATGCAAAGACCTTCAACTTTACAGACACGTTCCATGTTATCAAATTAAACCAAACCTGGATATGGTACTTGCGGCTAATTGAGTTATTGACAGAACGTCAGAAAAATTGTTTATATTCAAACGGTGGGAGCGAGGGTCACAGATGTTCATTGTTCATACCAGAGCCCAAGACTTATTTTCTTAAATAAACTAGTAAAAAAAAGTCATTTATTTAATAAGTGCAGTCTCTCTCTTTCTTCCCTCTGATAGGAATGCTCCATATAGGGAGATTTTGGCAGGTAAAACATTTTCACTTCACAAATCTTGCTTAACGTTGCCTAATAAATTCTCCAGAAGTAATCATACAATTAACCTGGTGGGATATAATGGGTTAGTGTGCTGTTAGCTCCGTCTCAGTCCAGCTTACTCACGCTGTAAGATGGACAACATGCCTGCCTAGTCTGTGGAGGATCTCAGATTGGATGAGTAGTGATGGTGAGAAAGAAGACGGACGGTAGTCTCGCACAGTGGAAAAAAATGTCCAGGATCTCCTATGGACAACAATCACACACCACCTACAATAAGGCAAGTGCACAAACAGAGGCACCTATTTCAATCTTATATAAAAAAAACACAGGCATTACATACACGTGCACGTTTTTACAGGTAGCAGCTAGAAGATGTTTTCTCCCTACTCTTAATCAGTTTTCACATGCAATATATAAACTGCTGTCGACTTGCTTCCATGAATTAATTCAACAATGTTGTTCTGAAAACCTCTGCTAGAAACTTGCAATTCAATACAAACTTACGTTTACATAGCACCTTTCACCTCTTCATACTTAATGCGCTCTCCCTTCCCGAAGGGAGAGAGCAACGCTTCATCGAGAAGGACAACAGATGCTGCAATCACAGCCAGTCTTCTAAGAAAAACAAGCGATCAATGATGCTAGGACAAAGATCAAAATTCTCTTCAAACACAACTGGAAGATTGTATTTGCACTACCAACGATCCTGTAACCTTAGTGTTCATCACATGTATTTTCAATCAACCCTTTGCTGGGGAAAACATTTTCTCTGTACAGTAATGGATATGTCATGTAAGAAGATAGCTTCATTGTGATGTTATCATACTTATCAAACGATTGAATGATTGCTTTCAGCTGATATGCACACTCCCCAAATTTATAAAGTATTCCATTTTACTGAAGATTTCAAAAGCTGATCTAAACCTTTTAAAAAAATAAAATTATGCGCATGGTCGGGGGGGTGGGGGTGGGAGCTTCATTCCAGAGTACGCCGACCCTTCCCTTCGCACCCCCACGCTCCCCGCCCCTGCAAGTTTAGCCGGAAGTTCTTTCAAGATCTCTTGTGTGTGTACAGCACAAAAGGGATAACAGTATCTACAAAACCTACAGAAAATGGCACAGGTTCAATCTCCCCCTCTCAGTAGTCTACCACAACAGGTTTATAGTGTGTGTTGAACTAATATTTTTCACCAAATCATGAATCCATTTGGTAATCCTTTACTGCTCCTCCCATCACCAAGAGCTACGATTTATAGTTGTTCAGATAAAAATTCCTATGATATGAAGTACGATTAATATGGCAGGAATAAGGTGTTGGCAAAGACCACTGACTGGTTCCAGTCAGCAATTGACATCCCGGACACCTCAGCACCACAATCTGTGCAACATTTGGCCCCAGTGTTCTGTCCAATCATCAAGTGGACATTTTAACAAATTGCAGTTAAAAAGCAAACAAAATAATAGCAATCTATCAATAGAATCTTTTTTTAAAAAAAATGCAGTACTTCTATTAATAGAACTACAATAATCACTCCTATGTACAAACCATTCTAAACACGACTGTACTAAGACAAGGGCCTAATATATTCAATATATCACAGTGTATCGAAGATTTTTTAAAAAAAACACTGGATAATAAAACCGTTTATAAGAAACCAGAGCTACACGTGTACATTTGATCGTGTGCACTGAAAAACTGATATTTTGGATCCTTTAATTGATTATAAAATAGCCCATTTACCTAGTGTTGCAAAAGAAAATAGATCGTAGGCTTGGTAACCCAACGCAAACCAGGAATTCCCAATATTTTATATACTGTGCCACTCATTGTTGTTTCACAACTCCGCTACTTTCATCATCACCCTTTCACCTGCACAAATCCATCTGAACTGCACAGCCCCGCACTAAGGTAACCCCAAACAAAGTTTTTTTTAAAAAAATATTAAATAACCAACATGATGTATAAAAAAAACTGGCAGTCAATTTAAAGCAGAAATGAAATTATTCTCACCCCAACGCTACTCAACTGTACACCTTACAAATTGGCATCAGAATAATGAATTACTGCCTTATATTCCACACATACATTCATTCTCAGTCATTAACAGTCCGTAAACCTTCAGCCATTATCATATCACAATAGTCAATCTTTCATTGTAGATGTCATTACACATCAATGTCACAGCACTGCAGTCACACCATTATTCTAATTACTCCAAGAGAGTGGTCCTGGGAATTACTGAACATAGGTACCATCCTGGGCTATTTAGGATCCCAACAATACAGCACTAAAATGTCACCCCTATTACCTACTAGTATCAGGTATTGCTTTGGCTTGGAGGAAATAAGTACCACCACAATAAAGTCTTTTTTGGTTTAAAAAAGTCACCAAATACTTATATAGAACATGCATGATGTGAACAGTAACATACACACGGCATTTTAATCTAATTTATCACTTATACAATGTTTCAGTCACTTGCTGTGATGGGTTTTTTCAATGCTACCTCAGAGTCATAAATCCATATCGTGGAATGCACGGATCACGGTGCCTGAAAGTCACTGAAAAGCCACAAATCTGCTGTCGACTAGTTTTGCTCTAATGAGCAGCTCACTGGATATTAAAATGCAATGCCACAGGAGGCTTTAAATACTAGGTTGCCAAGAACTGGCAAATCAAGTCATCAAATCCTTAAGAAAAAGGCTCCTTGTATTCACGCACTACTCAAAGTTCCAGGAGCCAGCAAGCAGCGAGGCTAAGAATTGATTGATTGATTTTGAGGCAGACACGATTTATATTGTACGAGCGTCAATGCTTTCAAAGAATATTTCAGAATTTGTTATTTGAACAATGGAACCAGTAACAGCTTCATGTCAGGCAGCCAGTGGTGAAATTAATAGAAATGTAAAGCTTTCTTGCCAATGCCATCCCTCAACCACACAAAGCTATTATTTCTAAAACCTTTCACTGTATTTTTTTTTAAAAGAAAGCAATCTTTTGGCTGTTTCACCCACAAAATACAGTAACCACACTTTACAGTATATTCCGTGAAGCGGAAGACGTCTCGAAAACATGATAAGTGGCCATATCAAATGCAAGGATTATTATTATTATTTCCGTTAATTTCTATCCACTGGCTGGTTAGGTTTTATTTTTGAGGTACTCACTTGTGTGGAATAATTGAATTGCCACTGAATTGCGCATGCATTATTGCTAAGTAACAGTTCAGAATAAAGTGGCAGATTAGTTATAAAATAGCTGATGTACAGACAAGCTGTCACAGCTTTATACATCTTTAGTTGGGGATTTTTTCAACAGGTTTTTAGTCACTGCCTTGAGCAAGCTTGCACCCTGCATGGAAACCCATGAGACACAGGCACAAAGCACTAAACTGAAATAGCCTACACTTCGAATTGAATTCGAGCTGAAATCGAATGGGATAGAACATCGCGTCGATCATTAGGTTGGATAAATCGCAGGACAAGACTACCAGCAAAATAGCATTTGGAGTTTCTGCCCTCCCGGCAATATCAAAATAGAACCTTCTTATGTCTCAACGTACAACTTTAGCAGCTGAGAAACAAATCGAAGGAATATGAGAAGCCATAAACTGCAGGGCACAAGTTGCTTCAATAGCCTGGCTCCCAGCTGTATAATAAACACTTTGCCATTGACACAGGCAGCATAATTTTTTACAAACTCTCCCCGGGGTCCTATAGCTTTATACATAAATAATGCCGGCTCTTCTACGCCTTGCTTTTTCCGCTCCGCATACTAATGCCTGCAACTGAACACAAGCCAAGCTATGGAGAATGGTCCTACCACCATGAACATTACATTTACTTGATAACAAGGATATTGTGCTGACCACTGATGCTTATGAACCATCAATCATATCAAGAGAGAATATTACTCGGGTCTTTTTGATACTTCAGTTGTTCTATTCTACGGCCGGGACTTATACGCTTACAAAAAACACGGTTGTCTTCAGAACATCGTCGCTGTAGATGATGGTGAATTCCAGCTGTGAAGTACTTTGCCCAGCGGGAAGCTCGCAGTGAGTTTCTTGTACCTACTATCCATCTGGTGAGGCTCAAGCCCGCGATTGTCAGATGCGGATTTCACAGTACAGGAACACTCCACTCCACAGAACCGGTTGTGAGATGTGGGGCCCAGAAAATAAGTCACAAACGCTCACAAAACCTGCAGCAACTTTTCATCATCAACTAACTCCATGCACGACCCATCAGTCTTACAAAGTGGTTACGCCACAAGTTATGGGTTAATCACAACAAAATAGTATTAAGCATCAAATGTAGTAGAGTTGGCTTCAACAGAAACATCTAGGAACCTAAAACAGATTAACAAGTCGAGGATATACAGTTCACTAAAGTGAATATTGTACAAGTACAAAATGCAATATAAAGCTACATAATAAATAACTATCTTTGATCCGATCGGTTCAAAAATGCTTCATGTGTCTCGAATCTAAAAAATCAAAAGGAAAAAAAAAAACTCACATTTGATTTCTATGTGGATTAACTACTGGTTGGTAGTAGTATATCAATCTCTTTAGCAGATGGTGTGATCAGAGCACTATTCATGCCACAGGGGGTTGAGAGGTCCAGTGTGGCGTTACACACATCCTTGGAAACTGATGAAAGCTTCATGCAGCTTGTGGGATTGGTTTCGTTGGATGGGGTCCCAACTAGAACTACACGATTTGGGCCTCCGTCCCCTTCCCCGGAGCCTCTCCCTACATTGTGGTCCAGGCAGGGCTTGGATGGAAGTTCCTCTTGAACCCCTGTTTCGCGCGAGTTGAAGAGTGAACGCTGAGACTGAATAGAAGCACTCGACTCACTCTTGGGTATCTGCCCAACTTGGGAATGTCCTCCATCGGTGGTTGGCCTTCCCAGTGGGTGTGGCGATGCCGGTGATTGGGCAAGCCCCGGCTTTTTTGGCGGGATTGGTGGAGGAGTTCCTCTCTCTGCTCTCGAGATCGTTGGTGATTTGATCCCGGGTGTCAATGGACTTTGTGGACTGGAACCTTTGCTGGAGGTTGGAGAATGACTGTGATCCCCAGTCGGTGTTTTAGGGGAAGTGCCCAACTGTCGATAATCAGTACCAAAGGGGGAGTTGTTTGCAGTTTTAAGAGCACCCGGTTGACTCGTGAACCTAGAGAGGACTTGGGTGACAGTATTACGGGCCAACTGCTTGGCAGTAGAACCGTCGACTGTAGTGGGCGACAGATCCCTTGCCGGAGGGCTCTGTAAGCCCCCCATCTGCTGATCATGCTCGGCCTGGGCTTGGAACTTGAAGCGAGCAGCGTGAAATCTCTGGTTCAACCCTGCTTGGTAGGAGGAGTGGAAAGCCGAGCCGGACGTTCCCGGGCTGGCCACGCGCTTCGTTAACACCGGTGAAGAGCACGGCGACCCGGAACCTGAGGATGTGGCGGAAGGGGAGTTGATTGCGGCGTTTGGAGAAAGGGGCATTCCACTGGGAGATGCACTAGAATGTGCGGTCGCACTGTTGTTGGCATAACCTCCATTCTCGACAATGCTCCCCTGATCAGAAGGAAAACCTGCCTTATCTTCAGTTGAGAGAAGACTATCCATTTCACAACCGTCAGAAGATTCATCCGCACCGTTTTTAACCAGGGCTGTACTGCAATGCCCGTTGGTCTTGGCGTGCCGTGGAAAAACTGCAGTTGGGTTTGACGACACAGCCTTGCTCTCGTCACTTTCGTTCGACCGTTCAGCACAAGTGCTCTCGGTTTGACACAACGAGGAAACCAATGGACATTTATCAGACCCTAAGTGTTGCGGCAGACTAGTTACCTCACTTGCTTCGTCCTGTTCCGGCTCATTCGGAAACAGCTTTCCGTTCTTCATGTCTTCAATAAGTTTCTTCAAGTTTTCAACCTCTTCTTTCAGGGCTTGTGTTCGGTTTTCTTCCCGGTTCAGCTTTGCTCGGAGCTGCTCTTTTTCAGTGTCAAATTCCGAGAGCTGCTTTTCCATCTGGGCTTCCCTCCCCGAGCCTCTCCGGATCTCAGCCGCCAGTTCCTCTTCCAGCCGAGTGCTCTTGCTTTTCTCCTTCTCCAGCTTTGCGCTCATCTCGGCTGCTCTTTGCCCCTCTTCTGCTGCCTTATTGGTTGCTTTCTTGCACTCTTTCATCAGCACCGCGGTAACCTGTTTGTGCCGTGATCGTTCCTCCTCCAGCTGCGAGGAGACCTTCTTCTGTTCCTTTTCTACCTTCTTCACCTGCGATTTCTCAAACTCCAGCTGAAAGGAACAATCAGAAAACAAACTGGAGTCAAAACTGCAGTATCCTTAAACTCATTCTGGTACTTATTTAAGGAGCAAGATTGAAATGGGTTTTAAAATAATCTGTCCCTCCCCACAAACCTAGCATATGATGTAGAATTTTACAACAAAGAAGGCCATTTGGTCCCTTATACTGTTGCTGGCTCTCAAATAGGCTTCCATTCAATCCCTCTTCCATGCCTGCCCCCACTCTCATTTTAAACAATTTATTCTCAAATATTTGTCCAAATCACTTAAGACTATTGCATACTTCTCGCCCACCGCAGTTTTGGTCGGGTATCAAGGGACACGGGGCAAAGGTGGGTAGTTGGAGTTGAGGTACAGATCAGCCATGATCTTTCAGAATGGCAGAATAGGCTCGAGGGTCTGAATGACCTACTCCTGTTCCTATGTATTCTATGTGCTAACAATCCTGTGTAAAACAGTTTCTCCCAACTGCTCCATTTTGGTATTGATGTTAAATTGAGGCCCTCCAGTTACTGACTGTTCACAGAAACTCATTTCACCACCACAAATGCATTTGTGTCAGAGCAGTGTTTCTGCTGCTGCTCACAGAGCTGCTGTTTAAAGCATGGGTGGGCTAAAGCAGCCAACAGCTGCAACTGCTGGCCCACCTGCAGCTGACCACATTGTGCAGACAGCCTATAGAACAGCGGCAGATGCAACAAGCTGAGCTGGTAAGAAGCAGGAACAGCTGGATTGGAAGTCTGGAAGCACAAATACAATACTCTCAGTACAGTTCCTTTTCAATTCTTTCACAATATAGGGTCACTGTTCTCTTTCCTATATCCTGTAAATACACAGTCAAGCCACTTTACAATATACCCTTTGAGTCGCCTCAACAACATGATAAGGTGCTATATCAAATGCAAGGATCATCATCATTATTATTACTACGGCCACCGTGCAATATTCTGAAAGGCCACCAAATAAAAGTTAAGTTGCTCCGCTTTCCAACCACAGGATCAATTGTAATAGAGAAAGAGATTATTTGCAGATGCATCTGAAAAATAAACATATGACCGACTGCCTTTCAGATAAGACACTGGACTAAGATTTGAATACTATCAAGACAAAACTGAGATGAAGGCTCGGATCCTGCTTTGGTACCTGTTGTGTGAGCCGCTCCCGTTCCTTCTCCAACATGTAAGTCACATCATCTCCCTCTGCCGTGTCCTGGGCATGTCGTCGCCTTTCCTCTTCCAGGTCCAGGATAACCTGCAAAAATGCACAAAACTCAGCCACGGGGAAACAGTTCGCAAAACCTCCTCAATTTTACTCTAGCTCTGTGTACTTCAAACCCCTCCCGGAAACTCCAGTATCCAAAGGATTGACAACATTCCAATACCCTATGGTTATTCACCTTCTTTAGGGTCAGATAATTGTCAAGTCAGTTGAAGGAATGAATGGGTGGGCTGAATGGCATTCCGGTATTCCTTATCTTCTAATGAATGTAGACATCAACAGAAAAAAAGATGTACCGACTTCCAAGATTATAAAAATGGGTTGCTGCAGTACTGAGGTTCTCCATTAGAGGGCACTCCCGCGCTTACATATATTGTATTTTACCATCAGTTCCATCGCCTGCAGTAATAATATAATAATCTTTGCATTTCGTGCAGCTCCTTATCACATCGGTGAGACGTCCAAGGCGCTTCACAGGATATACTGCAAAATGGACTGACTATATTTTGTGAGCGAGATGAGGCAGCCAGTTGCGCACAGCTGTGTCCCACAAACAGCCATGGAGCGAGTGCCCAATTTTATTTCTGGGAGATTGTTGGTTAGGCACTGGGAGAAACTCCCTTCTCTTTTCGAATAGTGCCAGGGATCTTTAACGCACACCTAATCAGGTAGATGGGACCTCGGGTTAACATCTCATCCGAAAGAACACTACACTTCTCCAGACTGCTGGCTTGGGCTGCAGTGCCAGTCTGAGGGAACAGTGCGAAGGGTTGTGTTACAGGAATGCAAGGCATGGATTCAAATTCTTGAAATGCAGAATTTAATCTAAAATGTGTGAATGCAATAATAATCCTTACATTTGATATAGTGCCTTTCCTGTACGACGATGTCTCGAAGCACTTCACAGGATTTAGAGCGAGTTTTATGGGGAAACATTAAGATATCATGCATTTAAAAGCTGAACTTTGCTTTTAATCCATGATATTTATATCAACCTGAGAAACCACCTGTACAATCTCCGTCCTGTACAATGAATGGTCTGGTTTGCTACCCTAACAGAGCTTACGCTTTCTAATATTGGCATGGCTGAGGAGACAGACAGCAGCTGTGCATTCCTGCACACTTGCTGTGTCTGTTTCTTTTACCCATGAGACAATGACAGACAGTAGTTTCATCGCTGTTTTCATGTATAGAGTTGGCATAGAGGTGCTCTGAAGCAAATAAATTACAATTCAAACTTTAAGCATTCCTCATTTTTGGAAACAATGACAAAATTACATTTGTATAGCGCCTTTCACGTCGGGAGGACGTCCCAAGGATGTTAGGTAGGATTGGGAAGCACATAATTGCTCTTGCCTAAGGCCCAGGAGAAGTTTTGGTAGCTCTGGCTTTAGCCTACAAATGAACATAAATATTTAAAGCAGTTTTTTTTTTAAAACAGATGCGTTTGGATCATTCTGTCCTTCCTGATTAAATTCTACATTATCTCTAACCATACTAAAGAGTGTGAGTATAGTCTATGCAGAAATACATTCCACCTCATTAGCACTCAGAATACCTTGATCCTTGGATAACAAAACACCATGATTACGTATGTACAAGCATTTATTTCGTCAGGACCTTTGGGATTTATCCATGTTCCAGCATTTAGTGGTGAATTGTGCAACTAAATTAGTTAAAACTATTTACAGTACTTGTGTCAAATGTAAGCCAACATCTGGTGGATATCAGTCATATAAATCTCAGTATTAATATTGAAACGATGATTGTTGTTCCCCCTCCAACTGAGGATAAATATCAAACTGAAAAATAATTGCGAAGAAGGCACGTATAAAATCCATTTAGCATATACCAATTTACGATACCTTTCTGTGTCTACTCTCTGCAGCAGATAGCTGGGATACCATCCGCTCCTGCATCTTCTTGCACTGGGTCATCACCACTTTGAGTACAGACAGTGGGTTGGTGCACACCGGCTGTTTCTCACCACGATACGCCTCCCGGATCGTCTCACAGTCCCTCTGCAGAGCCAGGAATGGGTCACTGATGTCATATTTTCCATAGCGTTCTTGAATGAAATGGTCTCTGTGCTGTGCCTGAAATCACACGCAGAAAACACTGAAATATTTCTATGTACTTCTACTGCAGTGGCATTTCAAGTAAATCATGTAATAGAATATACAATAATTAATATACAACAACTTGATAAATGCTTAAGGTCCACTTATATCAATCATCATGTAAAAAAAAACGTGGTCACTCAATCCACAACTCTGTTGTGCGTAATTGGCGGCCGCGTTTCGCCCACAAAATATAGTCAATTCACTTTACAGCAAATATTCTGTGAAGTGCTTTGAGACGTTTTGAAGACGTATAAGACGCAATATCAAATGCGAGGACTATTATTATTATTTTTATCGTGGCTAGTTATTTTACCAAGAGAAACATTAAACAAAACTATGTTGAGTGGATAAAAGAACACAAGAAATTGTTTCTAGGAAATTTAAACAACATTGCTTTTATTTTTGTTAGATAACCTCATTTTTATCTGTGCAGTACAGAAAACAACATGTGCACAGTTGGCTGCGTACTAAAGCAAGGCTTTTGTACAGTAATGACTGGGAGATGGAACTATTTTGATGCTGAAGCTAGGACAAACCCAATTTACTGTAATGTTTTCCACAACCCACGACACTATTTCAAGACAGAACAGAATTTCTGCTGGCCGCGACTAACAATCCAGGTAAATTAGTCATTCACTTCATGGCTTCAAAATTTCTATGGCTTGTTTTTCTATGGAACCTGTTGTGGGCGAAATGGCTGCTGTATTTTCCTACTACACTTACAGCAGTTACCTTTCAACAACTTTGAGACACTTGTTAACTGCTATCAAATAGAATGATTATTGTTTATTATTGCCATTCTATGAACTTCCAGCATTTTGCTTTTGGTTTCACGAGTCTGAGATCACTAGTCTGAGATATTAGTATCTCTTTTGGTAGAATAATCGTCAGCAAATTCAATTCCAATTATTATATAGACATATAGACTTCTTCAATACTAAGGAGGCCAGATACTGTAAATACAATAAAAATAAATAATCCTTGCATTAGATATAGCTCCTTATCACGTCTTTGAGACGTCTCAAAGCACTTCACAGAATATACTGTAAAGTGAAGTGACCGAGTATTTTGTTAGCGAAACGCAACAGCTAACTGCAGCCAGCAGTGTCCCACAAACAGTCATGGACTGAGCGACTAAATTATTGAAACATTTTTTGAAGGGCTTATTAACCCCAAAAAACCAATCCGCCAATCAACTGACAACCGGGTTCCTACTTACTGATAGGTAATCAGAGGCGTGTGGTGAAAGGAAACTTGCCCAAAGTTTTGCTCAATAATCGAACCCAGGTCCTCTCGCTTCAGAGGCGATTGCTCTAACCACTACGCTACAGGACTCCACAATAATTACTATGAACGCCCCTTCCATTTTAAACGCATAAGAGTGAGTCAGTTTCCTTTTCTGGGGGAGAAGACTCATTCTGAGAATGTTTGCAAAACCAAGGAAGCCAAAGTATAAATCATAAACCCAAATGTGGCTTCAACCAAAGTCAAGAAGGAAAGGGAAGCGACGCATGTTTTAAGAGATGCTCAGAGGAACCTGATTCAAAACTCTAAGCAGATCAAAACAATTATTCGTCATTGCCAGAGATCAAGGCCATAAACAATACAAGAATCCCAACAGATCACTGAACTATCGCTCACAAAAGGAAATATATATAGCACTATTTGCATGTATGCAAACAAAACCAATCTCTGGGGTATAAAAACTCACAGCTACGCAGCAACTGAAACACTGTTGGATAAATAACTGTACAGTTACTCAGTAATTTTCCGTCTGGTGAATAAACAGGAACTCACTCCACAGTTACAATGAGTAATCCTGATCTCAGTTTAAGGAACTTCAGCTACAAGAAATGGTTTTGAGGTTGAATTAAATTTGAATGAAGATGATATCTAATTGAGAAATCTCAAATGTCTGTGCTCTAATAACACGCCAATCAATTAAATTCTAGCTTTACCTCCTCCAGAGAGCCAAGCCAGATTACCACAAATCACAACAGCAATTGCATTCTGGCTGTTATTCTACTCGAGATATTACAGGATTTTCCACAGATTTAGCTACAGCTGGTCTCTACAACTGGAAGGACCAGTCAAAGTCAAATGGCAAACTTTTCCTTTTTGTCGAACACTGTTGCACGCAATTGGCTGCAACGTTTTGCCCGCAAAATATATAGTCAATTCACTTCATAGCATATTCTGTGAAGCGCTTTGAGATGCCTCGAAGACGTGATAAGGCGCTATATCAAATGCAAGGATTATTATTATTTCCATTAAAATTTTTATGGTATCATTCACATGACATCCCAGACATGCATGCCTATGCCTGCACAAGCACACAGTTAGGAGCCACTCTCCCGAAGATCAAGTGATTAAAATGGAAACATGGAATTTATGATCGAAATATTACAAGGGCTCGGGTTCGTTTATTAAAAAAATTAAAATGTATTCGTACAACCAAAATAAATTGGCAAAACCACAGCAACACCCTAGAGGGAATGTCCATAAATTCCATTGGGCTGGTAATTAGAAGAGAAAGCCAATGAGGCAGAACTTAAACTTCAGAATGCATTTAACTCAGCTATTAAACTGGGGAAATAAAGGCATTCACGTTGGCTCACAGGCACCCAGAGTAGATTCCACTGGGGACTAAAGCCGTGGATTACGATCACAACGGTCAACTATAAAATACTTCAATGCCTCTGGTGTGTACATCCGCACCGAGGGGAGTTTGCAGCTCTCTTACTGCAAAATGAACTACTTCCTGTCAGTGTTTCTAAGAAAAGCAAAAGCAAATCCAAAGATTTGGAAAGTAGGCTTTTGCTTTGGATAACTAGTGAAATACTCCCCAATATTACTTCTGGTCTGATCATCAGGTTCACAAGCAGGTGCCAATGTCACTGCCCACTGTAACATCCCGGTAAACCATATTACACCTAGTCACGCAATAGGAGAGGGATTGAGATAATTACTGCAGTTTCTTATTGACATTTCAACTACCTCAATGTGCTGCTGCTACGCCAAGCACTCGGATTTAATGCATTCCAAAAACAAAGAATACATTGAATTCCCCTGCTATCCAATTAGACATTTTCAATCTAATGGTTTGTGAAAAGTCAATGCGATAATGCAGCTGGCTCAGTTGCAACTATCTAAGATGTACTTCTCGTTTCTGTTCGAATTAACTTTTCTGGCATAGTGTATGGCTGTCTGGCTATTTAGTTGGAATAATCACATTACGATGCGGGTGGGGGGAGGGGCGGAGGAAGGAAGAAAGAATTTACATTTCATGATTTGAAGTGGTTCCGTCCTGTTCAGTTATGTCTGTATTATTATTATCTGAATCAGCATATGAAATAAATAGAAACTGTTGCTAAGAAACATTGAAATCCATAGCAGTTTAGGATGTAAAAAAGAAAGATCATTTTCAGGAACATCATTAACACAATGGGCTGAAAAGGGCCTTTATAAGGGGATGGATTCGCTTCCCCATCAAATAAATGATGATTCAAGGATAACATATTCTTCAGATACTAGAATTTGCTTAGTTTTTTTTCTAAATGCCAAGTGTACATAATGCAGTCAATCCACCACCACATCTCAGAGTCAGTCTTTGTGATTCCCTTTTTTGTACAATACAGGTTTTTGTTTAGACTGAGTTGTTGATTGAATAATGGAATAAACATATTGGTTCTGTTGACTTCCTGTTTGAAAAGCGCTATATCAAATGCAAGGATTATTATTATTGTTGAGCCAAACTTTGTTTTTTGCCATAATAATAAATCCTTGTATTTGATATGCCTTATCACGTCTTCGAGAAGTCTCCAAGCACTTCACAGAATATACTATAAAGTGAATTGACTGTATATTTTGTGGGTGAAACGTGGCAGCCAATTGCACACAACAGTGTCCCATTAACAGTCTTGGATTGAGTAATCAAATTATTATTGGTTATCATCCCCGGAAAAGCATTCCTCTAATCGACTACCAACCGGGTTCCTACTTACTGCTAGGTAAACAGAGGCATGTGGAGTAACGAAACTTGCCCAACGTTTTGCCCTGCCCGGGAATCGAACCCAGGTCCTCTTGCTTGAGACGAGTGCTCGAACTACTAAGCTACAGGACTCCACTGCTAGTGAGGGCTCTTTAAATAATGGCTTCTGTATTACCAAAAGTCAAACTTCTAATTACAATTCCTGCTGCAATGAAGGCCATAGTCACTTCCTGCTTGTTATGGTTTGCAGCTGACATGGAATTCAAAGCTAAATTTGTTCCTCAGATTTTGGGAAGGCAGAGCTTGATTTTGTTACTGGAGTTGGCATTCATTGGACTATCTTATTAATAATCTGAAAAATAACAATTCTACAAATGGTGTTCAATAGTACTGTAGTCTGTAAACTACATAAACTGCCGTTCTCTAAGATGCCATTGTTGCATTTCAAGCGTGAATATCCTGAAATGAGGAATGACAGACCAGTTGCATCAAAACCAGCTGTGTAAAACTGAGTGGGTTAATGATGTCCTGATGTCTGAATGCACTTATCAGCATGCTGAGGTGTTCCCAAAGCACTGATCCACAGGAAATCCTATTTGGAAGAATTCCCTGGGAGGATAAGGGAAGGGAATATGGAGCTTTCCTCTTCTCTTCCAATGTTTTCTTTAAGAACAGGATGGATATAGGTTCATTCTGGCTCCCAAGTGGAAATGAGGTCACAGGGATAACCTAGTGAGATCTTACCTTGGCATTACTGTTTGCTACCAACAGTCAAATAAATACAAGACTGCTTGTATCAAACTTCCACTAAACTGCCAAATAACGCTATTTTTTCATGGTCTGTATTCTGATATGAACCTGGCTACATAAACCATCCCAATTGTGCCGAATCTCTTTTGACCCTCAAAGGCACCCTCTAGGCATAGGTTTTGTATTGCACAGTACATACATGTTCACTGCTGTGTAAAGCCAGCAGAATCCC